AACTGTACTTAAGTCTCTGGGTGTCATTGAATTTTAAAGTCAAAATTCCTCATTCTCGCATCCCATCAATAAATACTACTGACGTGTTTATTACTTGTGAGTAATAATTCTATAACACACCTCTGAAGCACTTCTTTGTCCAGAATGATGTCACTGTCCCATGATGCTCAACATATGCTGAAAATAATGTATGATTCTAAGAACACGTGGATAATTATTCAAAATGTTATAACAACATGGGGTTAAATGTATCCATGCGGTATGATCTGATTGTGTCAGGACATCAATCATACAATATCAACTATAAAATAAAATTTGATAGGACTTATGTTAAAGAAATAGCTCATTACATGGATTTTAGTTAGCATTTGGCGTGTCAAAACCCGGCCTGTTATAGTTCGCCTGTATATGTAAACTTTGCCTTCCCTAGTATTGGTTACAGATCCCAATTTCCCGTATAATTCACTGTAGTAGAAGTCATATTTCACTTACGTTCCGACAAGTTAATTCTGAGATCCAGTCTATATATAGCGTATGCACTTAAATTTCAGTTACACAGTAGCATGTTTATAAAATAAATAATGCAAACTTAACATTCTCCTATTGGAATTCAAAAATATTGCTTAGATGAAGGAAATAAATGAATCTATAAAGCATTTACTTAGTGAGCAATTTTACTAGGGAGAATAATTTAGTGAGTATATGTCTCTTCGTTGCTTTGTAATGTTCTGCTTAGAAAATAAAATCCCATCTAGAGCCCTAAATTTCTCCACATCCAGCTATGCATATAATGTAACACGAGTCAAGAGTGGTCAAAATGAAGTCTAAATAGGCATTTCAAAAAGTAATAAGCAATTTGCAATATACTCGTTTTTTGGTTTTTTTTCTTTCGTAATAAACCTATCCAGCATTTAAAGTTTGATGTGATAGTACACCTAATGGATATTTAATTCAAAAGTATATGACATTTCATCTATACTTTGTGCTCGCAGATTTGCTATCAAATGTATTGATTTGAAAATAGGTCCCTCTCCACTTGTCAATCATTTCTTCAGCATATAGTTGGCATAGTTCCTCTCTGGCACTGCAAACATATTGCATGCGCTGTGGTTGCTGTGGTAACTCCTCTAGCTAGGACTTCTTATTCTGGCCAGACGGCAAAAGGCATGGTGTGATTTATGTCACTCAACAATCACTGATGAAGCCAGTGTGTCAGCGTGACTCCAAGCAGGGCAAAACCTTTCACAGGAAAGGCAGTGGGTGTTACAACAGTGCAGCACCCTCAGAACTGCTGAAGTGGTGGAGTTGGACCATAAGAAATTAGGTCTAAAGGATCAGAATGTATTTTTTATTGTAAGAATCTTTGCAGCATGTAAAGAAAAGATATGGCATTTTAAAAATAAGTAAAGTATATGTAAAAAATACCTGAAATTCTGCCCCCTACATTCACTAGATCCCTCTACCATATTTATCAACTTTCAGTAGGATTGAGGTATAATCTGACCGTTAGGCTCCTGCTTCACTTAATGCACAGACCGGTGACATCATCAGCTATCGCCCTGTGTGCTCTGCCTGGTCCGAACTCCGAACTCAATGGCCATTCTCATATTTACTAAAGCCAAATGCAGTCAGAATTCCTTCAGCTTGACGGATACTCTAACATTGGTATGGATGCAGAGATCTACAGCAAGAGTCTACAGCGCCAGAATTGCAAATTATCATTCATTCGATATTTGCATGTGCATTGTAATTTGATAATTTGAAGAACTATTTGCTTGTTGACAGCGCTAGCAGCCAGTGGGCAAATCATTAACAAGTGTTAATTATGCGGCGGCTTGTCAGCATTTGTTAGCCAGCCACCACATGGAAAAAGTAAACATAAAAAAACTAAAATAGTTAATAGAAATTCTATGGGGGTCAATAAGATTTCCATATTGCTACAGTGGAGGTATCTTACATCTATATACCCCACTCTGCCCGATGAGAAAAAAACACAAAGGAGAAAAACCCACAAAACTAAAACCACGCCGGAACAAAAGTTAATTCTTCTTTACCTACGAAGCGCTTGACGCAAAATTAATGATCCTAGCTGGGAAAGGTCTTTTATAGGTGTGGGCACGCTTTGCAAAATAACCAAAAGTACTCTGATTGGCTAGTAAACCAATCAATAAAAGTGTTCTGACAGCCAAGTCTCAAGAGTCCTCCCCCTTATTATAATTATTAGGGCCCACCTGTACGCATGGATGGGGACCAGGGGAGAAAAGATACAATGCTCTTTTAAGTGTGAAATTAACTCCATCGGTAAAACTGGCCAGTCAGACTTTTCATTAGTGCATGCCAAAACAGCTACTGAGATATTCCACTGACAATAATGATTAGAAAAACATTAGGAAAAAAATTGAACTTATTTACTTATTTAAGCTAATTTATATAGTAAACACAGATTTTGATATATTAAGCTTGCATTTTTAACCCTTAACCCTTTTGTAAAAGACAAATGTATGCAGAATAATTTTGCCATCCCGAAAGGTTAATTTCATCATAATTATAATGCAAGCCACATTCATAAAAAGAAAACAACAAAATCAAAATCTAGCTCTGACAAATTACTTACTCTTCATTTCATCCGATATCAACACAATTCCGGATTATGCAGAGTGTGTGTGACGAGAAATGACATCCTCTATTGTAACTTGCCACCAAATGTTTCAGATGGTCTTTGAAATCTTAAGACAGGAACAGATGGTTTGGCAAGTGCTCATTCAAGCCTTAAGCAAATACTGTGAATGATTAGTTGAAAACATATCCCTCATGATTATTTGAAAACAGATTTTATTAGATAATCCACGTAATTTAGATTTCCTTTTCAAAGCAGACAGAAGATGTTGCACCTGACACCTCAAGGTAAAGACGTCCTTGATGAGAAAAAAATGCACATCGACATGTGGGAAAGCGGGTTGAAGTACCCCCCATGGGTCCTTATGTAGGACAGTCTCTACACTTTATTCAGTGACAAAACACACTGCATACGAAAAATATATTTTTGTGTAGTGTATCGGTCGAGATTAATTTTGTGTCTACTCTCATCTAATATATGTCTATTGCCTGATAAGTTATCATTTTGAAATATGCTCCAATGCCCCTTGGTTTTGGATTCTGAATGGAAATGATACTGAGGGTCTCTTCCTATGTTGTTATATGTTTCTTATATATATATATATATATATATATACATTTATATTTATTTATTTTTTTGGTACCCGCACTTGGGGGTCTTAAACAATTTAATATGCCCCGTGTTCAATCCAGCAAAACAATGCAGCAAAACGATTCCAGGTCTTCATTAGATTAAAACACAACTTTTATTAATGGTCAACATTTCAGTTTAAAAATAAAATATTCATGAGGACAATGCACAGTATAACACCAAAAAAAAGTGTACTCTTACATGCTGTGAACATCAAATTTGGCCTGTTTCCTTCCGGTGCCCACGGGCATGCTCCCCTTACTAACAAGCCATGTTTACCAGAAGTAGAGACATCATTACTATGGTAATCTGTAAACATGCCCCCTCAGAACTGGCCATGTTGGAGTGGAGAGAACGTCTGTCGACACGGTTGGGACACACGACAATTTTGTCTTTTCCAGATGTTTACAGGGGGTGAGTGCTCTTTTCTTTTTTTGTGTGTTATACTATAAATATGTGCTGTTTTTCATGTGAATTATCCTGATGAAAATTTTATTTTTAAACTGAAATGATAAATAAATTAAAAATAAGAGTTAGGTATTAATTTAATGAAGACTTGAGATTGCGATCCTATCTTTTTGTTATATATAGATATGCAGTATATAGTATAATAAAGTAAACTGAAAGATAAAAGTGACAAAAATGGAACACAGAGTAAAATTATATTGAGGTAATGACACATTAATTGGCAATTCATTAATTAAATTTGCTGTCTTGTGTTTGTTTCAACTGACATTTGCTGTTCCAGATCCACTTTCAAATCTCACTTGACTACATGTTCAAGTACGACTACATGGTGTGTTATGGTATGGTATAATATGGTATTTGAATGTGTGATAAATCAACATCAGAATGCAGGTTTGGAACTTCCAAGATTGGTTGGAATAACTCAAAGACCTTTTTTAAAGGCAACTTTAATTCTAATACTACATGAGTGGCCAATTAATAATCACAAGTCATTTGAATAAATGTTCAAGTAACAATATATTGTAGTGTGTAGTATGGTACTTGAAGGTATAATCAAGTGAGGTCTGAAAGCAGGTTTGGAACAGTGAATATGAGTTGGAAATAATCACAAGACCTTTTTAAAGGCAAAATTAATTCTAATACTTTGTGAATGGATATTCAATATTTTATTGCCTTTAACTGTTAATGATTTGTTGCTATTATCTTTCATTTTATATTATTATATACCCCATATATATTGTTTATACTTCATTATTTGGTTTGCATTGGACGGTGATATTGTGTGTGGGTGTGTGACATTCTTTTTTTTTTCAGTGCATGGGTCCATACACCGAGATAGACATGGTGGTACACAAAGGTGTATCATCAAATGCAAGAGAGATTCTCCATAATAATTCACACAAAATAATAGGTTGCCCATGTGAAAGTAAAAAAAACGCATAAACAGGCTAGAGTTGAAGCACTGGAGTTGTAAGTGAGCAATATGTGAATCTAGCGAGGTTTAAACTACACTGCATATTTAAGCTGCATAGAGAAAAATAGACATAGCAGTATACAAAATAGACCACTGGGTGGTATTGGATAAACATAAGCATGTGCATGTAAAAAGACTGACAAATGCATAGAGAGACAAGTTTCTTTAAAACTTATAAGAAAATATAACAGTCATATAAATATGGCCACAGGGAATTAGAGATGATGTAATTTGCCTAGGCTGATAAAGGGAAAGACTCTAATAGTGGGATTCTCAGAGATCCGGATTTATAAAGCCTGCCATTATTCTTAGGCCTGAACATGAGCCTGCATTGCTGCAACTACATTACTCACTAGTCCGTCAACCATTTCCTCCAAAACCAGAGTTCCAGGAGGTTCCTGCAGCCAGTATGTACTGTCGACCACCGGAATCCCTCCAGGAGTGTAAACCATGCATGTGGTACCTTCTCTGCAAGACCCGCTTGTCCAACCTTGCCCAAAATCTAGAGCATATAACATCAAAATCTTGTAGGAGTGCTCCTCTTGGTGAGGGTGGCAAAGCAGAGAAACGCTGGCAGGTCAGTCCAGCTACGGGAGCCATTCTGGACTCATGGCCTTTGGTTCAATCATGAAACTGATTCTTTCCAATGTAAACTGGCAGAAGACCCACTAGTCTAAAGGGAGGGAGAACCACAGAGTCCAGCAGAGCTAAGATAAATCAACAGGTGGGGAATTGGCTGCTTTTCCTGTCTCAATTAGATCAGTGTGCCTCCAGGGATAATCTATCTGAAACACACAGTTGTTTTTGAGCAACCTGGTCCAGTCTTGCAACTGGTTTTGTTTCAGATAAGAAATTAGGTTGACACTCTCAGATAAATTGTGAAAGCAGGTTTTCTAAGCCTAATTCCAGTAAATATCATGCTTCTTGCTCGATCAGGAGTTAATCCCGCCCCCCACCCCACCACTCACCCACTCACCCACTCACCCACTCACCCACTGAGTGTGTAAACTTTTAACTGCATAAGAATAATACATTGTTTAACCCGAAAGCCAATGTTTAGCATTTAGCATTTAGCTGTTTTCAGTTACATCCTGAGATACATAAAATAATAAAAATAAATTTAAAAAAAAGCTGCTTTTTCATGTACTCAGAATTGCAAACAGATTTATGCAATAGAAAGGCACCATAAAACCTATTTAAATGTGATGCTAATGGTTCTAAGCACTAACACACTGACATTTACAGGGCTCTTGCTTAGCCTCAAGACTCTTAATTATTATATTCACTATTTTTATTCATGTATTCTTTATTAAATATTACATGCAATTATATAGGATGGTACCAAAGTGTTTTTCCCTTAACATAATAGTGTAATTGTTTTCACATTTTTCTGATCCAAACTTGATTCTATTATTCCTAGTTTACCAATATCAAACTATGGAAATGAAAGTAAAGTCATCTGTTAATAACACTAGTTAATACATTGTGATATGTAGCAGATATGAAATATGAGCTATGTAACTTGCCATTTTTGCCTCAATGAACCTTTAAAACAACAATACCTTTTCCCTTATCAACCTGTCCTGCTAAAACCTTACCAAACCTCCCCAATGCAGTTATTTAACATAAACCCTGTAAACCTATGCTTGATAACTATCTTCACATGTTCAGTAATGCTTTGCAACATAGGTTTTTTCCTCTTGTGAATATGCTTAAAGAGCTACTCCATCCAATTTGGTTGTAGAAACACTTCTGTGCTTGCCCACCTCTCTCCACATGCCAAAAAAATGGCTAACCTTACCCTTTTTTCTTTGCCAAGGCATAGCTTCCTAGAATAGAAATTCTTACAATGATTCATGATTACCATATAGGTCCCAACATTGGCGTTCTGTGAATCAGGAAGCTGGTGGGAGGGGCTAAAGGGCATGACATGATTCATGTCACTGGCACCACCAAGCACCACAAACCAGGATGTCTGTCAATCAGGTAGGCTGAACCACTGATGGCAGACCATGTAGAAAGGAATGTTTCAGTGCTCTTTGCATGGTCCTGGAATCCTAAGAACAGCACGAGCACGTCTAATCACGTAGGCATGCTACAATTTGTTTAGGACGATTCCCTCATGTCCCCAAAAGCGGTGTACCAGAAAAAACCTGGCAGGGCCTTAAAATCTGGGCTGTCATGACAAAATTGAGAGGCCTGTTACTATGTAATGGCAGTATGTTTACGGTTATTTAGAGTATTTTTTTAATCAAGGAGATTTACAGACAAGACATGACAAGACAGACAGCTAATCTGTCCGTAGCTCTTTAAGCATATTCACTTAAAGATGGAAAACATATATTGCAAAGCATTACTGAACATGTGAAGATAGTTATCATAGCATAGGTTCAAAGAGTTTATGTTAAATAGCTGCATTGGGGAGGTTTGTCAAGTTTTAGCAGGACAGGGTGGTAAGGGAAGAATTATCGTTGTAGATAAGTTGACTGATCGGCGATAGCACAATGTCTAAATTAAACGATTATAAAATGGAAACAGAATGCTGTCATATTATATAAACCAAAGTCCCTTTAATTTGACGCTCTAAACAAATTCTTGATGAAAGTACAGTTACGGATGTGCATTTTGAAAATATTTTTTTTTCCTGCATCACTAAGAATTAAGCTGTACATACTGCGTACGTGAAAAGTTATTAATGATATCTCTATAAATAAATAATGAAACTACAATTAATATGGTTTGAGAAAGATGGATGAGGGAATATTTTATTACGTTATAACTCATAAAGGAGACAGTAATTCAGTGGTATTTTATGGTTTGAGAAGACGAGATCACATGTTCGGAATTTGAATTATTTTTTTTTTTTTTTAACAAGGGTGTATAAGATGTGTAATATACTGACATCTTGTTGTGGAACAATCAGACAGAAATAAAATAAAATATTATATATATATATATATATATATATATATTATTTTTTTTGTTTTTAAATCAGTAAAGTTATGTTTCAAACATTGAATTAGGCACACATATATTTAATATAGTGAACAAAATGCATTTTGAGAGAGTGAAGTCACAATTGTTTTACCCTTTCTAATCAACCATTGCACATGTAAAATTAATAATAATATAGTATTAGCATTGCTTTAGACCCCTCTTCCTCCCACCTCTTCAATGTCACTAACCCAACAGTTAGGGATAGTGTAATGTTAAGGTTAATATTAGGTTAGCTAATCCTAGATTTATGGCTAGTTTATTATGTTTAGCTCACCCTACGGTTAGGAATAGTGTAATGTTAAGGTTAGTAATAGGTTAGCTAATCCTATTTTCTTATGGTTAGTGTATTATGGGTATTTAACGCTTCACACAGACTGTAAGCCACTCCTACCTCATTAACCACAGTCAGAATCATACCAGAAAATGTAAGTTAACAATCACAATGACATTACATAAAGTAAAATAAATGCATTTTCTGATTGTAGGTGTATGCATAAATGCATTTGTTATTTAAAGGGTTACTCCAACCACCATGATCACTTCAGTGAATTGAAGTAGTCGTAGTGGTAGGAGTCAATATGTGCAGTGTCTCTCCATGAAACACTACATATAAAGTAATATTTGTAATTGTGTGCTGGGGGTGCCAAGTGACATTGGCAGCTCAGAACTCCAGGTTGCCTAATGTCACTTCTGTGCATAAATAAAGTGATTGCATAAAATCTTTCCCTTGAAGGAGGAGCACACCCCTACCTTCTCTGCACTCTTTCCGTTTCCCTCCCCTCGCCGCCCTGGAGTTTGCATGCATTTTGAGTCAACAAAATGGTCCAACCACAGGCTTCTCTACGAGATGCCTATGACTGGACCACACATGATCCCAGTGATGTCAGGAGGGGCACACAAAAGCAGTGCCAGTAGTTTTGATTCAAGGTGAGTAAAAACGTTTTTTTCAGGTTTTACAGCAAATTGCAAGGAAGGACCTTCCCTGTAGTGCATATTACACCAGAAAGGTCCCCTCTTTCAAATGGTTGTATAGTAACCTTTTAGTATTTACTTTTGATATATGCTGCTTCAAGCATTTTAAGTCACCGTTGTATTATGTAATGTATCGCACAAAGACTGGCATGTTTGTGTTTCACTTTAGAATGTGATGCATTAGGATTCTTAAAAAGGGGAATTTTAAATCCGTGGCAAATCTTTTCCAACATGGATAAGTAAATGCTTTGACTTTTACTGGAAGGCAATATTGGCACAACACTTTACAAATCACTAGAAACAATGTATGAAATGTGCATTGGAGATCAGCTATTGCAATAGAATTGTTCTAGTTGTCTCACAGAACAATTAAGGGATATATATTTATAATGAATTGGGGAGAGCTTCACTAGTTACAATTCTTCAGGGGGATTGAGTGAAATGCATATAAACATTTCCTATTTGATATCTCATTTAACTCAGACGGAAAGCAGTATTAACATATCAAGACGTGCATATTTAATATAGTTAACTGAAATAAATGTAATTTAACAGATGCAAAAGAGAAATCCTCTGCTGTGACCTGAAGCATGCTATACAATTTAAAGGCAAATGATTATTCATTTTTATTTCTCAGTTTAAATGTATGGCAGTGTCATGCAGTGCATGATTGCAAAGTCCATGGTTCATTGAGCTAGAATTCATGCTTGAAAGAATATGTATTAAGAAAACGCATTTACAATAGAAAACTGCTTTCCTGTTCTCTTAGGGAAGACTTCACATCGCAATGAGGTGTTCTGTATCTTTTAGGCAACAAGATGGCCACCATCAACAATGCCCACCATGTATACCTTCATTAACATAGCTGCTGTTGGGGATGAAGCTCCGTGTCCATGCCTCTTTTGCTTTGGCATTAGGCCTACCATAATTTTCAGCACTGAGACTCTTAATCTGACCCTGTGCAAATTACTAAATTGGTGAGCACAAGTAGAAGGAGTAATAACAAACAAATGTTAATCAAAAGAACATGGACTGACAGTATAACTATAATGAGAGCAACATTAAGCAATAGGCCTGTCCTGCCTCAATGACTCATTGATTTCCTGCAAGGCTTTATATCATTTCATAGAATGTCTGGTAGAGTGTCTGTGTTCTTCTGCCTTGGTTGGTATCTCCATGGTGCCTTCATCCAGGACTTCATCCAGGATATATATATAGAAAATACTCTCTTCCTCCTCGCTATTTCTGTGATAGCTCACCTAATTAGGAATTTGTAGTATTGTTCCTCTGTATTGTATTTTCTTCTTCTTTTATGGATGTTCTGTGTATATATATATTTATACACGCAACATACAAAATTCAGTCAACTCACTCACTAAACACCAACTTCAAAGCTCACAAAATGTAATTGTTTTGTTTAAAAATACTTGACAACTATATAGAGCTCCGGAATTTGTTGGCACTTTATAAATAAATAATAATAATAATGATGACCATGATAGAAAGGTAGAAAGGTGTCAGAACTTGCAATGGGAATAAGGCTGACTGGCGGAGCCAGAAATATCCTCTAGGTCAGGGGTAGGCAACCTTTTAGTAGTAAAGTGGTCA